CTCTCTCCCTTTTTTTTTTTTTTTTTTTTTTTTTTTTTTTTTTGGTTAACAAATTCAACGTGCTAAAGAAGAAAAAGGAAGACAATATCCATTTCGGGGCATTTTTGGGGGGAGAAATTTCATTTTGGAAAATGATTTCATTTTCAATGAGATTTTTGAATAATTTATTTTTTATTGAAGCAAGAATATTTACTCTTTGGTAAAAATTTACTGAAACAAGTATTTGTAACTTTAAAAACAATATTTTTTGTTAGATTGAAAGTTTATCAAAGAATGCCATAACTATTAGCAAGTTCTTGTGGATACTTGTTTATCCTGCATGAGCTTGTTCCATTTCTTCATCATCTCCATTTTTCATCCCCAATCGCAGAAGTTCTTGTTTAAGTATTTCATAGTTAACGGACTTATATTTAGGACACTGAATTATTTTTGATAGATCATTGTTGGGATGTGCTAAATAATTGGGATAATGACTGTGAAAAAACCAAATATCCGATATCTCCGTATCTAATCATTAATTTTGAATTTCAGAAGGCAAGAAAAATAAATTTTATATGAAATTTTATTATATTTCCGTCAACATAAGTATTATTTTTCCTAAAAAAGCCCCCTTCTGAGGCCTCGAAGTACCTTGACAAGGCTCTATAATCAGTCTTTGTGTCATCCATCATCGACCCATGTCACATTAGAAGATGGAATCCAACTGCAGTTCAACGTTTCAACAATAGGTGTTGCAATTGATTCCAGCCAAACTGTGTTAAACTCTCAACCAATCTCTCTGTTTCCAACTCAAGAAAAAGGAAGTAACATAAAGAAAACCCCATCGATCGACTGGCATTCTTAATTCTATATACTATGGGCCATCCAATAATTTCTCATAGGGACCAATATACATATATATATATATATATACACCCCTATATCTATATATGTACACCTACCTCTCATCTCTCCCCTCCAAACCAACCATACATCTCTCTCTCTCTCTCTCTCTCTCTCTCTCTCTCTCTTTCGGTTCATAAAAAAAATAATGGGAGTTGAACCAATTAGTCCGCCATTGGTAGCCAAGAAATTATGGAACGTAATGAGAATAGTGTTCCACATGATGAGAAAAGGCATATCAAAGAGTAAGCTAATGCTTGATCTACATATGCTCTTAAAGCGTGGAAGAATAGCCATCGGCAACCTCTTGCTCGACCACCACCACCACCACTACTACTACGCCCTCACCTGCCGCTCCAAAGATATCAGCATGTCGTTCGTGACACCCCGAGAGTACGAATTCAGCTGCAGCAACCCCCCGGTTTACCACTCCAAGAGCAAAAACCGCCACCAGCGCCGCCACAACTGTGTAGAAGAAATAAATGTGGTTCAAAGAATGTTAGATATGTTGAATCATTATGATGCGGTGGAAGTATCTCCATTGACGATGCTCCCAGGATTCGGGGTCAGCCCGGCGGTGAGGCAGTTGAGAGTGACAGATTCACCATTTTCGTTAAAGGATACAGAGGAGAATAACCACCAAGTGGATAAGGATGCTGAAGAGTTCATTAAGAAATTCTACAAGGGTTTGAAGAAGGAAAAGAGAATTGCTGCCTTGGACACACCTTCTCCATATTACATAAAAATATGAAATTAAAAAAATAATAATAATAATAATTCGTGATGTATTGTGAATTTTCGATTGGGATTGTGATATTGTGCCTTCTTCGACTTGGTAAAAAGTCACATGACTTGGGCCGTGACAACGTTATTTGTATTATTTCATGTGAGTTGTTTACGAGATCGAAGGTATCTTGTCATCTTTCACCCCAAATTCCAATAATAAATCTAGCAATGGGTTTCGAGTACTTTTATTTTAATTTTTGTTATTTCTATACAAATATTTTTTTCCATCAAATACTCAAATTTGGGTATGGTACAATAATCTCTAACGACCAACATTTATCTTTCTTTCTTAAGTACTAATTGATATATTCTTAGAAAAGAATTTTCAGGAACTTGATTAGGTATTTACATTCTTACACTCTTTATAAGTCATGCATTATCTTTCACATACTTCAAAAGCAACAAATAGTGAAATTATTTGTGGATTCTACAAAATATGTTGATAGAAAATATATTTTAACCAGCCGAAATCAATATAAGATTTGTCAAAACATGCACTAAGTTAAAGTGAGTGCGTGTGTGTGTGTGTAAAATTTTGTAACATAACAAAAGAGACCACCCCTTGTTGCTTTAATGTTTGATATGCTAATTGTTTTGAAAGTTGTTGGATTACAAGGTTAGTATTGATTTGGTTTTTATGGTTTTTCTCTTTGCAAGGTCATCTTAGCTGTGTTCCTAATTGCTTGGGTCCATACTTGGGGGTCACCTTTCATGAATAATTGAGACAACAAACAAAGAGTGGCTAATAATTATTTGTGACATTGAACACCATATAGTAATTGTAACTCAAACATGTAACTTTACGATTCTCTATCATAGTTGAGGATGCAAAACAAATTCGCACTAGGGCACAATTTTTAGTGGACAATACATATGCGTGCTACACGAGCTAAATCCAATAGACCATATGGGTAAATGTCCTCGTTATATTTAAGGGCGAGGAATGATTTAATAAGTATCGATAATTAACATGACATGACAATACATATGCGTGCTACACGAGTTGAATCCAATAGACCATATGGGTAAATGTCTTCGTTATATTTAAGGGCTTGGAATGATTTAATATGTACCAATAATTAGCATGACAAATAAAGTTATTAGTAGATAACAAACTTAATTCAAATGTTAAGATCCACCATAAACTTATTCATCAATGAACTGATGTTATATGTTATCGATGATTAGTAGATCATTGTATGAGTGCAAGTATTTTAAATAAAAATTAAAAAAAAATGTGAAATCACGTCAATGATGTTCCATGTACAATGTTTTAATTTAGTCAATATTAAAACATGGAATAATGCTATTTGCAGTGAAAACTACCGACAGTCGCCCTATGTGGCGTATACTTGACAGTTTTTCATTTGATGTATAATTCAAAATACCAAATTGTCAAGTATATACTATATAGGGCGACCACTGACAGTCTTCACTACTAATAGCATTACTCTAAAACATGTCACGTACAGTAGTACAAAAAAAAAAGAATAATTAAAAAATAGGATTGAAAGCACATTACAGTATTTTTTTTTTTCTCGACTTTAACGTATTAAGTGCAAGTTTGTCAAGTTTATAATTAATTATAATTGTGGATCCCGCGAAAAGTGTGTATTCATAGTACCATACGTGTGGATGCCAGTAGGATACCTTTGTGTGGTCTGTAGGTAGTGTAGAATCTTGGTCGCTTGTTGTTTAGGTAAACAGTCATCTTCTCTGGGTTGGTCCTGGTTGTCCAGTTATAATTGGATATATTGGTGTATATATATTACTAAACTGATATTTAATATCATATATTAAATTAAATTGAATTTAACTTGAAGAATTATCTAAAAATCTCTTTCTGATTTGGATTATTTAGCACGTTTGACAAGATTTTTTTTTATTTAACTGATTGTTTTGAGAGAGCCACATAATTTTTCTTATGCGATAATAATACTTATGCATTTTACTTATTCTTCGTTTTCATTAATTGGGCAAGGCCATAAGAAAAAATAACTTTAACAATGAATTTACATGGATTCAATATTCTAAATAATGAAATGTATTGTTAATATCTAACGACTACAATAAGTATCAAGAAATAGTACTCGTGGTAATTTTAACGATGTCTATATCCTTGAACATTCTGTCCCTCATCTAACCTCTTCGATAGATTTTGTACAGTGGATTTTAATATATAGAAATTTTTTGTTTCTCACTAATTTTGTTGAATTAATTAGTATACAAAAGCTTCATCTCATTGGACAATTGCACATTGAGGCCTTGTAGGGTACCTATTTTTTCAAAATGAATTTGTCTCTCTCTTCTTTTCAATCACACATGTTTTATTAAAATAATATTACACGTAAATCAAAAAGTTTTCTTTATTTTTCAACCACACATTTTTCATCAATTTACTATTATAAAATACATTTTTACATAAAAATAGTTCTCAAACACCCCCTAAAACGTAATAGAAAAACGCAAGTATATAAAACTATGAAAATTTTTATTTGTACATCAAACTGTTCCTCAGAATCTCACGTGTGGGATCCATGTTGTAATAAAAAAATGCCAAAAAATTCCCCCCCCCCACCCACCCCCTGTTGTGTCTATTCTGTATAGCTTTTGTGTGTGCAGTTTTTGTACACACAGAATGCTTCTAAAACTATTATTTGAAAAATTATCTTAGACTAGGTTTCATTAGAAACTCTTATAATTGGACAAAAAACTTCTTAAAAATTATTTAATCATGTTTGAAAATAGTTTCTTAGTCTCATAAGTCCATAAAATCAAAAGGATTTATAAAGCTAACATTATTGGCTCGTTAATAATCGTATAGTCTAAAAATGCCACAGCTATGATTTGAAAATATTGTAAACGCTCATTAAGTAATTAGTAAATTGGATTTGAGAGATGCAGAAATCTACCGTTCAAGCTACGTTTCTTGAAAGTGTTTGAGAATTCGATGCAGTAGGGAACTAATTGTCACTAATTAATTCGACCATATATAATTTCGCCAACGAAATCAAAAACAATAATTGGCAAAGCCAATGACAGCCAGACCACTCCAAATGAATGCCATAAATCCAAACAATTTCATATATATATGCGGTGGTTAGATCTTTTTTGGGTTCGCTTGGCAGAATTTTTAAGTTAAAAGTTACTTTTGAGATTAAAAAATTAATAATAACTGCTTTTAAACATGTTTGGTTCATTTATTTTGTCTAACTTAAAAGAACCTTTAGAAAAAATTGATTTAAGATAATTTTCTCAAAAAGCTCTTATACAAGGAACGGACGCAATGCGAAGTGCGCCGTAAATCTCCTATTAAAAATTACCCTAACTAATAAAACTAATCTCTTTTCGGACCAATAATGCAAATACTAGTTTAAGGGGAAAATAAAAAATAAAATAAGGAAGATCAAAAATTAAGAAAACACATGTATTTCGATTTAGGACACATTAATTTTATATGTAATCAATATGGCAATACAACCAGGAAACTCCAATAAAGAAATTTAAAAATAAATACATAAATACAGTTGAGAGATTGTGGTGATAATTCTCCATATTAAATAAGAATCTCTCTCTCGTCCATTTAAGGCTGTCGCCTTCACAAGCGATACATTTATACTTCTCCAGCAACTAAAATTGTGTGGTATTCAAAGGTAATGATTTTTCACATTGAAGAATCAATCTACATTTCCTCGTCATTAACTCTTCTATTACATATCATTATCGAGCTTTCCATTTATGCGTTTGATACGTTAAATCCAGTACAATAGACATATCATTGAGTCTTATTTTAGCCAATCGATTATCTTATTGATGACCAAGCAACCATCATACCAAGATGGTTTTCAATAGAGTTATTGTTGTAACTTAAGAATAAAAGTTTTAACATTTCAAATTAAAACCTTTAATTTTCAATTTTAACATAAAATTAAAGCATCTTAATCAATATTGTAACTTGTGTTTTGACGGTATAGTTGTGGGGGTTAAATTTGTCCCTATAAAAGAGAGTGTTTTTCATTGAGAAAAACAGTATGAAAATCACAATTTGAGATACAATTAGAAAACAAAATACTATCTATATTTCATACTTTATTTCTATAAGTTTGGAAACTCAAAAAATGTTCATTCACTTATCTCCCTATAGTCGTGCTCATAAAATGAAAATTGACTATGAGCCACATAGGTTTTATCTTGGAACCTTGTAGCATCGAAAGTACCTGCACACGGGAGAGATAACTTGATTTTAGGACAACTTCATTAATGTGAGTCTCTAGGGCACGTATTCTAAACCTCTTCTTATTATTGAATTATAATGTTTATATTACTATAATATTGTTGTGTTTATGCAATTATAAAATTATGTTATTTATATTTATTAATTAATAAATTATCTATACACAAATCATCCATTTTTCCCAAAAATCTAAAGTCATGTTTGTGATTAAGTGTAGAGAGATGTTTAATCTTTAAGAGGTTTACTTGAAGTTTGTGTTAGCATTGCCATATTATCTCGTCATGCCTTGGACTTGATTCGTTAAATTTTTGGATTACAGCAAGTTGATTGACCACGAATTATTGATGTTATCTCTATTTTCTTTATACATTTACAACTGAATGATTACATTTTTAGATTTTGGACTACTTGATTTTGTATCTAACTATTTGCAACTGGAATTGAAATTACATTTTAGTAAGATCTTCACTCAAATATAGAGGATGTTTGATTCCCATTTTCTTGTAAAAATACATTTTAGAATAATTAATTGATGGGAAATGTGTGGTTGAAAAATAAGGAAATTTTTTTTATTTACGTGTAATATTATTTTAATAAAAAATGTGTGGTTGAAAAGAAAAGAAAGAAAAATACATTTTGAAAAAAATGGATACCAAACGGGGCCATAATTAAAAGAATAGGGTTTAGTAGTGTGTATATAGTCTTTGTCGGACTAGGGCATAGCAAGCGAAGCAAAGGGTACGAAATTAATCTTGTGGACCATGCTTAATAATTTTTGATTTATTTATTTAAATTAAAACTTGTTTGTGATATTTATATTATTGGGTTCCTAAATGTCCATAAAGATTGTGGGGATTTGATGAGAAGGAATAATTATTTTTAAAGTTTCACCAATTTTTAGAGATACATTCTACAAGAAGTTGAATATTTATGTTGGGTTGTTTTTTAGAAATGATCATC